TGAGCTTGGTGGGCGATGAGAGGAGATATGTATTCTCGAGGTGTGAGCAACATGGAATGGGATATGATAAGTGTGGTGAGATCTTTTCTTAGGGTCATTTATGCATGTGTCGCATATGTGGTTGACCGTGATTTGATTGACTTGGTGTTAATCTATGGTTCTATATGAACGTGTTTCTGAAAAGATCTGTGTGTGTTATCCTATAATATATCGTCATCGCATGTGTATTTGCTCTTGATTGTTTGCTGTTAAATATTTGCTTCTACTTGAGTGTTTTTTACCTTAGCCTCAGTGAGTACATGGAGCATGTATCGTATGTGTTTCAAGTTGGAAACACGAGGTAAGGTCTGTGATCCAATTTTATTGGCTACCTTAATTATGCAAGTGTTAACTGCGTGTTTTGATTGTTTGCAGATTTATTGGGCATCAAGGTTGAGATTTGTTGGGTTTTTTATACCCAATAAATCCCGGGTTATGATGCTAACATGGGTTAATATTATTTCATAGGCATAGGCTGATGAATGAAATAAGTCCAACAACTAAGTCAATGAGCTACAGTCGGCCCAATTGTATTCCTTATGGATGGCTTGTATCTTGGTCCGTTTACCCCTTTAATGGCCCAACTTAAAGCCTAACCCTAGAGTATATATTTGGCTATAACCCTAACCACTTTCATATGATGTTTTGTGTGATTTTGAGAGAAGAAATAGTGAATCCCGACTGCCCCCTTTTTGTGTGAGAAAAAGGTGTTCAGAAGTGTCTAGAACGCTTGTATAACGTGTGCAATTGATGGTTCTTTCATAGTATACCTTTGTGGTGTCTTCTCCTAGCCTTTGTGGCCATAAATCATCATCCTTTCTTGTCTTATGTGGGTAAGATTGCATAGCAACCAAGGTGAATCAATTGGTTGTGGTTTGGAGCCGATTTGACTGTTTGTTGGTTGAGAAAGGTGCGTTGGACTGAGCCTCAAAAACCACCGTTTGAAGATATTTTTGAGAGAGCTTCCGCAACAGTAACATTTTAGGAAAAAGCCTCCTGCACGGGCCCTTTGCACGGGGTCTGTATAGGGGCTCTTACATGGGGGTGGACCCCATGTGTGGGGTCCATCCCCATGTGTGTGCACCTGTATAGGCTCTGCGCAAAAGAGCTTGTGCAGGTAGCACATCCGAACATTTTATTCCTCCTTTCACTATTTCTATGCATTTTTAAGGGAATGAACTATCAAGCACCAAAAATACTCCTCACAACATTAGTTCAATTTTAAAGCTTCCCCCCCCCCCCTTCTAAATTTAATTTTTAAAATTCTTTTTGAATGTTGACAATAGTATCTTGTATTAACAATTTATAGCTCCAATCACATTAATTTAATGTAAATTAATTATCTTCTCATTTACAATACATTCATAAGATTTACTAATACAGAAGACCACGTACAAGAACACTTTTAATAAATGAAGGTATAATTACATAAAAAATATTAAATTTATTTTTCAATTTAAAAATTCCAATATTGTTTGTGGTTTCGAGTCGTAGATAAGGGAGTATTCTTAATTTTGAAAACTGAATAGGTAGAACTGTATTTGTCATATACTTAGGGGAGGCTTCTGAAATTTATCCTATATTTTAAGAGGTATCTTTCACGTCATTAAAAATAAGATTGTTTGTTAAAAATATATATTTAAAATTGACTACTAACAATTAGTAGTTCAACACTAAAATATAAATGTTTCCACAGTAGGATTTTAGAAAGTTCTTGTCTATCTCTGAATGAAGGAAAAATGAGAAAAGATCAATTCATGGATAAAGGAAGCCAAAGTATACAATTTGATAAAAGGTATCCCATTTCCAAATCAATAGAATTAGAGAACTATTTATTGGGCCTGATCTTAAAACGTTGGGATTGTCTAATTAACAAAGAGTTGACAACAAGCATGCTTATTCTTGAAACTAACGCAACATAAATTGCAATGACAAGGAATAAAATTAACAGAATTAAGAAGGGCATTCAGAAACTCACATTACCAATATATATTGAACGGGAATCCAACTCCTTCTTTTCTGCCTGAGTCGTAGAGGCATCAGTTAAGTCTTCTAACTGTTG